CAGCGCGACGTAGCGCTTCGCCGGGCGCAGCCGCACCGCCAGCAGCGTCACCACGCCGAGCGTGCCAAAGGCCGACGCCGCGCCCCAGAACAGGTCCGCCTTGTCGGTGCGCGACGCCCGCGCCGTGGCCCCGTCCGCCAGCACAATCTCGATCCAGTCAAACGTGCTGTCGAAGGCGCCGTACCGGAACGAGCTGCTCTCCCCCGACGTCCCGGAGAAGCCGCCCCCCGCGGTGATGCCCGGGAACTCCATCACCACGGGCGGCACGAGCCCGTGCGCGAGCGTGGCGTCGACGAGCTCGTCCATGGGCACGTTGGGCTCCACGAGGGCCGTCATGCCCGTCTTGTCCACCGAGAGGACGTGGTTGAGGCCGCTGGTGTCGATGGTGTTGTCGGCGCGCCGGTGCGACGTGCGCGTGCTGTTGGTTGAGCCGTGGTAGATGCGGAACGGCTTTTGCGCTTCGTGAAACGTCTTGACCTGGGCTGCGATGCGCCTGACGGCCGTGTCGTGGGCTTCCATGGTGGGAATGAGGTTGGGCGGTTGCGTCGTGACCCGGCCGGCCGGCTTTGGCGGAAACAGGGCCAGGAATGTGTTTCGCGTTTCGGCTTCTAGACAATGGGCATTTTCGTGGCGGCCAAGAGCAAAGCGAGTATGCCCATCTATCGCTGTATATACGTTATAGGCAACAGAGACGCAGTTGCTAAAACTACATGCAATGTTGACGTTTTGACCATGGGGTTTAGCGCCGAAGATGCCGGCTCAGCCTCGCACCTCACATGCTGTCATCCTGTCTGGTTTAAGCTCACACCCGCACGCTTGGCCGTCACAAGGCCACCAACAACCCACTAGGCTGCAACAACAAGGCATTCGTTTTATTCCTTGCTCATTCTCTTGTCCTAAATGCTTTTTCAAGTGCATGTCTAGCCTATTGCCACGAACATTGTAATACAAACAAGCCATTAGATGCGATTTCACCACGCCAAAACGCCGGTCCCGAGCTGTACATGCATCGCTCTTGATACTTTTCGCCGCCTAGTCAGAGGCATCCCCATCATCTGCGGCCGCCTTGTCGGACTGGCTGGCGAGGCTGGCTACCATATGATCTTCTGCCCTGCACCTTGTTCCTGCTCATTGACTGTCCTAGGTTGATGTCGACGCGAGGCGGGGTTGCGAAACCAAAGCTCTTGGCCACGCGCACCAAGTCCAACTTTTGCACGTCATATACCGATCGCAGGCTGTGTGAGCCATATGCGTGCAGGTATGACTTGAACGCCTCCTTGGCGCTCTGTTGCAGGTAGTAGTTCTTTCCTATCAGCTTCTCCAAATTGGATTGCACATTCTTGATATGTTTTGCAGGAAATTCAAATTCGACGACAGGCACGCGGGCAGTCTTGAGGTGTGAGAGGAATCCAACCTCGTTGGGTTGGAGGAACAACAGACTCCGACCCTTTGTATTGGCACCACGAGCTGTACGGCCGACACGGTGAATGTAGTCGCGCGTGTTATCCGGGGGGTCGAATTGAACAATGAAATCTACGGCAGGGATCTGCACCCATGAATCAGCATCTGTCACCGCGGTTCGACTGTACATTATTCCATTTTTTACTTACGTCGAGTCCACGAGCAGCAACATCAGTGCAAATTAGAATACCATGCTCGGCATTGCTAAACTCGAAAAAGGTATTTGTCCGCTTTTGCTGCTTCTGCTTGCCGTGAAGATCTAGCACCGGGCAATCAATGTAGTTGAGGAGCTCCGAGTAGTACTTGACCGAGTTGCAGCTACTGAAGAACACAATCACCTTCTTCTTCTTTTCCTTCATTCTCATCAGGAATGAGAAGAGTAAGATGAATCGCTTGTCGGCATCGCAAAGGACATAGCCTTGTTCAAGCCCGTCCACAGTGCTGAACTGCTTCTCTTCGTCGACATTGATATACAGAGGGCCGGGTCGCAGTGATATCCTTGCAAGATCCTCTGGGGTATACGTTAGCTGATGGGAGCTCCACATGTCTTGAATTCGTTGGATTACAAGAGCTACTTACCGACTTTGGTGGTTTGTGTGGCTGAGAACAGCATAGTCTGTCGGTCGTCATTGGATAACACCTTGACGATTTGGCGAATCTCGTCCTCGAAACCAACTTCCAAGATGCGGTCTGCTTCGTCGATAACGAGGGACTTGAGATTCTTGAACACAAATGGCGTGTTCAATAAATGATCAAGGAGTCGACCAGGAGTGGCAATCAGAAGGTTGACGCCTTTGGACAGCTTCTCTGCTTCAGCCTTTCTATTGGCACCTCCAATAACAATACCATACGTCTGAGAGTGATGTTGCATAAGCTCGCGAGCGACACCGAAAATTTGAAGGGCTAATTCTCGAGTAGGCGAGACCACAATGACGCCAGTGCCGTTTCTGGGCTTGAATCGTAGAGCGCTGAGGATCTCGATCGCGGGAATAAGGAAAGCAAGTGTTTTGCCCGAACCGGTCTTGGCCGCACCAAGAACATCCTTGCCTGCCAACAGCGGTGGGATAGCCTGTCAACTTATTAGCTGGCTGCTTCAAAGCGTGGTCTTGGCTGGGGGGCTTCGAAGGGAAGCTCAAATCACATACAGTCCTCTGGATGGCAGTCATCTTGGTGAAGCCCATTTCTGTGATGGCCTTCATCGTCTTCTCCGACAGCTTCAATTGGTCAAACATATCCGACTCAGCAGTCGGGGCCAGTATAGGAGCGCCGTCGGTGGGAAGATCTCCAACTGTGTCGTCGGCATCTTCGTCTTCTGCATCCTCAGCGATGGGGCCTTCCTCTGCATCCTCGCTGTTCTCCCCGTCCTGTTGTTCGTTCTGCTCCTCGCTCAAACTATCATTGTCTCCGCTTTCACTCTCGTCCTCCTCAGGCTCGATCTGTGGCGGTGGATTCTTGACCTTCTTTGACTTTTTCGAAGAGGCGGTGGCATTGGCAACAGCTTCGGCGCCATTGCGCTTCCGCTTCTTGGCAATTCCGTCACCCATTATATCGAAATCTGCAAGGGATCAAAGAGCTGCTTGTGAGTTTGTTTCCTTCTCACTCAAGAAATCCTGTCGTTGCTCTGCGTCGGTTGGTGCAGTCTCGCTATGTTGAAGGGTCTTTGAGGGAAAATGTCGATTCGATAAGTGGGATTTGCGATAACGAAAAAAAAAAGTTGGACCGGCGGATAAGAAAAAAATGCACCCAGCCAACCATGGGTTGTGCCCCACATCAGGAGGTTGAGGTGACTGGCACCTGGCCCGTGCGCAGATCTGCTCGAGAGAAATGGCAGGAACTCACGAAACAGCCTTCTTCATTACACTAGTCTAGCCATCACTTTGGCATGAGACTTTTAAAATGTGTCATATTTCTGGACGGCGGTGTTTTCGTTTTTGTAAAATCCGCATGATAATCTCACATACTGTCTCTCCCTACTTGTACACGCAGCGCTCCTCTAGAAAACTGACATCGCGCATGCTTAGTCCTCCTCTAACAACCAAGGATGTCAACAGGAACCGTGACTGAATTCTCCCACGTCAAATTACCCTCCAAACCACGACACCCCTTTCTTGGGTCGGAAAGTTTCCACCATGCCTTTTTATCGTCTTTTAATTGATATACTTCTGGTAATTTACAGCTTGCTCTTAGAATTCAGATACACGTTGGCCAACTTGAGTTGGTCCACGGCCTCGGCAACCATTTCGTCGACAATCTCTTTGGCCGGCTGGATCTTGGTAATTGCCCCAGCCACCTGGCCCATGAGATGAGGAAATTCAATGTCCTCGCGATCATTTTCAAAGTCGTGCTCGATGGGGACAATACCCTTGTCACAAAGCTCCTGGGCAGCATTACCTCTAACCTGCCAGCTCTTCAGGTATGGGTTGAGTCGGGCTCGCAACGGCCGGCCCGTGAGAACCAAAGTACGGTCCGTCTCGGAGAAGTCGCAAGCAACAACGGCCTCCTTGTGTTCCTCGGCGCTAGCGGCCTCGGTGCAGGCGACGAATCTGGTACCGACCCAGACACCGACAGCGCCCTGCATGAGAGAGCTGGCCAGGCCACGTCCGTTGTGAATACCGCCTGCGGCAAGGACTGGAGCCGTCTGGCCCTTTAGCATGGCTGGCTTGTAGCGACGAGCAACATCGACAACTGCCGGGATCAGCACCGAGTTGGCGACATCACCAGTGTGGCCGCCTCCCTCGGTGCCCTGGGCACAAAGCATATCGACGCCACGCTCAAGGGCCTTTACGGCGTGCTTGGGGTGGCCAACCATGTTCATGACTAAGATGCCGTGTTTATGAAACTTATCAATGACTTCCTTTTCAGGAACACCGACGGCGCTGACGAAAAGACAGGCACCACTCTCAATAATCAGGTCCACAAGTTCGTTTAGTTTGCCATGTGTGTAGTCGTGGTTCGTCTTTCGAGCGCTGCCACCGACCTGGGGCAAGGCCAAGTCAACGCCAAATGGGAGATTAGGCTGCTTAAATCGGGCCTTCATCTCAGAAATAATTTCGCGTAGCTGCTCCGGTGTGTACTGGAAGCCGCCGACGACGCCGAGACCTCCCGCATTGGATACAGCCGCAGCGAGCTCTCCGCCTGCCGTGTGCGCCATGCCAGCAAGCATGATGGGATGCTGAATCCCCAGCAGCGTGGTCAGCGGTGTTGTGATGGGACCGGACGGCGCCATGGTTGATTATGTTTTGTTTTTCGGAGCAAAGAAAACGGAGCAAAAACGGCTATGCTAATAATACTGCGCAGGTCAGAAACCAAAGGTTCAACATAGGCATCCAGGTGCCTTGCGGGATGTCGAACGGGTCAGCCATGCGACGGGCGCGTAACTTACTGTTTCGAAAAAAAGAATTCGTCAATCGCTTAATGGTAAAGGTTATGCGACCAAGTATTTGTGGCAAAGGAGAAAAGACAGAAACGACCCGAATCTAAAAAAGCAGATTCCATGGGCAAAATAAATATGACGAGAGATTGAGGAGCTTCATCGCGCTTCACGAGCCAGCCTAAAAAAAAGAACGCCACGGACATGGGTCACGGTCCCCCAACGCACCAGACAGACTCCAATTGGGCCCACGGCAACCCGCAAAAAAGAGGCCAAAACGGGCCATGGTCGCTCGGGTCGCGCTCCGGAGGCGCGGGGGAACCGCCCTGACCGTCGCCTCCGATGCGGGGAGCCGACACCCAGCCGAGGCTCGTCGGTCCCCAAGGCCGTCCTGTCGTCTTATTTCGTACGAGTCGGCCAACACCCCCTCACTCAGCAGCTAAAACACATCCAGGAACGGCTATTGCAATGCCCTAGGTTCGACGTACCAGGAATGTGAATCGATTGATCGATCGCGGTTTCGAACTGACTAGGTCTGGAGCAGTGATGCCTTTACCTCCTGTTGTACTAAGTAAACGTAGCTTCCATAGCAAAAGATCTTTGTCCATGAACAAGCATACACCAAAATATGATAGCATCTTCCAGTATAGGGTGTGATGGCCGAGTATCTGATCTGGTGAATGCTCTTGCCGGTCACTAACAACTTATGTCGCAGCGAGGCCACGCCAGCCGAGCAATAGCAGGCGATAATTCAACGCAGTCTGGTCAAACCAATAGACCCAGAAAATCTGCCAACTCCACCAGCGTTACTAGCATTGTACCTTGCATTCAATGTTTATGTTTCTGGCACCGTTCCCCGAAACAAGGGCACCACAGGCAGCAGGTAAATTCCTCTCAACTCTATACTATACGAGCAAACGGCTTCACGGGCTCAACATTCACGGAGCAACTGCTCCACATAAAAATATCCCGTCAATACATCGTTGCATTGCAGTCGGTCGTTGTATAGTATGACTTGCCGATTATTAGCGGCCACCTCGTGCGTACCGACGAGTCATGGGCCAAGTTCTAAAAAAAAAAAACACTGCTCGGTACAGCTACGCTTGCTAATTGTCACAAAATTCCATGCTGCTTCCCAGGTCGCATACACATGCCCTTGAGCCTCCCATTCGCGTCGCCCAGAAGAGTATGCGCTCTACAAGCAAATGACGCAGAATACATTAAATGAGCCCCATAAATTGCTGCGTCCAACGAAAGCAGCATCTGCATCCAAACTCTCACTATCCAAAGCGTGGCAGTCGCGCTGCGTGGAAAGCCGATGTAGACCTGCTACTCGATTCATACGGATCATCGCCTCCACTCCCTCTTGGTTGGTCCCTCGACACCGCAGTTGGCGGCGGCGGCGGTGGTGGTGATTCTCGTCCATCACGATCCTGCAAAGACTTCACCTTATCCTGAGGTTCGTGGATCTCGTTCATTGCGACCTCGAGCGTTTTCGCCTCCTCGATATCGTGGACTTCTTCATCGACGCCCAGTCCCCTCCCTGAAGCAAGCTGCGAGGCAGCCATCTTCCTCCTCGCCTGTTCATCGTGCTCTTGCCTCTGCAACCTCGTCTCTTCGGCTTGTAAATCCTCCATTGGCGGGAAATGAGCAACGCCTGGCGTCGGGGGGGCCGTCGTTGCGTACTCGCGGGACTCGCTGGACGCCGTAGATCCCAGTGTTGATCTTGAAACGGTTCGGGAAGAAGCCGCAAGCTCTCCAGCTGGCCGTTTTCCTTTACTGCTCCTCGTCTTGGCACTGCTCCTGTCGTCCCTCTTTACCATGTCATACGTCACGTCGTCATCCAACGGCACCGCATCCTCCTCTCCCTCCCCGTCGCTGGGGAACAAATCTCCTCTTGACCGGTACGAGTCCGACGTTCCCCCGGACCCTGTGGTCCCGCTCCGTTGCCTAGGCATGCGCAACACCTCCCCGTAGTCCGAGTCGTCGTCACCGCCCAACAGCGGTGCAGATTCCCCGGCGCCGTGCTTGCCAGGGTGGTCTTGGAGATCCGCTGCGCTAGGTTTATATCGTAGCGTTCCGCCCATTTTCCAGGGCAGTTTACTCAAGAACCCAATGGGTTGTGTGCTCGGAATAATTGTGGCATCGTTCTGGCTTGCCTTCCTCCTCATGCCTCTTGTCCCATAGCTCATGCCACGTTTCCTTCGAGGTTGCTCGTTCGTCTCGCCGCCATGTCTTCTGGCGCTTCCTGTGCCAGCTAGCAGGCGGTCCCAGTCCTCGCCGCCCCAGCTGCCCAGGAGCCCGCCTCCAGATTGCTCCTCTTCGTACCAGTCGTCGTAGAAGTCGAAACTGAATTCGGCGCTCTCGCGGGCCCGTTGGCGTTCGCGACGACGACGGAGCCGCTCCTCGGGGTCGCCTAAGCATACCGTTGTGCATTGCTCGATAGAGTCGGCTATTGACGCGAGGCACGGGTTGATATAGTTTTGCTGGAAGGTGAAAATACCGGCTGCTGCGTTTTCGGTGACGGTTTCCGCGTCGTGGGTGATTTGGTTCCAGCGTTGGCGGAGACGGGGGTCTTCGAGGAAGGCCATGTTTGGGGTAGAAACAAATCGGGCGCGCAAATCAGCTTGCCGCAGCTGCTGACAGCATAGAAGTCGTGGTTATTAGGTCATGGATTTTCGGGGATGGTTGAGGGCTGGATGTTGACACAGGATGCGCTAGATTCCTGGTTCGCCAGAACATGAGCGCCCGACTCGGGGTCCGGGAATGTGACGGCTTGTCGAGATGAATGAGAGTTCTGATGAGTTTTTGATTCGTGCGCGCAGCGCGCAGGCGCAATTTGGCGATTCGCAATTCGCTTCCGTGTAGGGTTTGGATGATGGTCATCGGTACTTTGAGGTGCAGGTCGTCGAAACGCCTCCTCCATCAGCCGGCACGTGCGAGGAGTCCAGGTGGTCTGGTCCTCAGTCCTCAGTCCAGCTAGGAGAGATTTATCAATACCCAAGGACAGTGGTGATTCGACAGCCAACGGCTAATTGAATAGGAGTAGATGTGCGAAACGTGGAATTAAAAACAGAGCTCAAACTCAAATGCCAGCGAGACTTGCAACCTCATTGTGCAACCAGACTGTCTTCACCAGCCCAAAGCCTGATTGAATGGCCACCAACGCCTGGGTCACAAGTCGCGGGAGGTACCTCGGACTTGAGTGTCCCATTGAGCCAGTCCGGTTCTTCTGCACAGGCCTAAAAAAGCAAAAGTGGCAGAGAGTGGGGCCACCCGCAATGTCAAGTTGTCAACGCAATACAGAGTACAGTGAACCTGCTCTATAACGATCATGTATCTTAGCGATAGTCAAGTTATTACGATAATTCACGGTCATCTAAGGTTTTTCCCTAATAAATCGTTAATAGTCAGGTTACTAATAATATCGTAGGCATCAGGCTTAGTCACCATATAAATCAGGGCTTTTATCCAGATGTCGTTATTAGGGGCCTGCTGAGGCCTATAGGGCCCCACATGTGAGGCCTACAAGGGGCCTATAGAGGCCCACATTTAAGGCGCACAGCGCGTTTTTCTAGCCGTAACGCGGTCAAAAAAAAACCTATCCTTGTAAATATACCTTATCATAATAAATATATATACATAAAGATATATACCCTATAATAGTCGCACCTTTATGATAGTCGCCGAATAACAATAAGAGGGGCCTCGCGAAGTATATTATTATAGGCCCGGTTCACTGTACTTGAGCATCAAGGTACAAACGAGACTGATTGGCTGGTTGATATTGGGACACGTCCTTCATCTGGTGTTTGACGGCATGGAGGAAATATCAGACATGCTGCCGTGATCACGAGTTCCCTTTGTAGCCTCAATCCATCCTTCTCATCCCAGATCTTGTCGCGCCAGAGGCACAATGCCGCCTGTTCGGTCAACGAAAAAGAACTCGCACCTCGAGAGCAATGCACAGCAGCTCAGCATAGAATCTTTTTTTACAAAAGGGGTCGCCAAGGACGCGTCAACGTCGATAGCCAACCCGCCGGTCATCTCTGTGGGAGCTTCCCCTGCTGCAACTGAAGCTCTTGCAGATTCCAACACCCCCATTCCCGTGCAGAATGTCGTCGCCCCTGCTGAAGTTGAAGCTCCTGCAGATTCCAACCCGCCCGACAACTCTGCGGGAGCTACTTCAGCTGCAGTTGGTGCTCTTGCGGATTCCAACACGCCCCCTCCCGTCAAGAAAGTCGCCAACGCTTTCCAGGCACTTCGGCCCGATTCCAAGGGACAAGTGGAAGTCTATTTTCAGTCTGATGCGGAGTGGGAGAAAAGTTGGCAAACGAAACTGGGCCACCGGACAAAGAAACTGAGCTTTGGGAGCTCGTTTGTCCTGACTAAGAAAGCTTTCCAAATTTTGGACCAATGGTCCCCATCCATGACAATGATAAATGGCTTATGTTCGTCCCATCCTGCAGTCGACATTTTGAGCAGCTTATATCCATAGGCACAGGCATCTGCCGCAACCTAACACACTTCGAGTTCCAGCATACAGATGTCAGCTATGGCGCGCACAATGCGAATGAACTCACCCCCGGCACCACTGTGCGACTGGCGCGTATGTGTCCCAGCTTGCGTTTCGTAAGACTGCAAGGATGCCGCAATATCCAGACTGACGCCATGCTCATCGCCTTCCTCTCCAACTGCCCTAATATAACCTATTTAGAGCTTTCCGGCCCCGCTTCAAGCAAGATTACACAAGCTTCCTTTGATGCCCTGCTGGCGCATCCAAATTGGGCTCCCAAGCTCAAGACGCTGTGCATTCCTCAGCCTGGCCCTTATGTGAAACGGGAGAAGGCCTGGTTGAAAGCTCTGTGCGCGGTATCCAAAGAACGACAGATGCTAACGATTCAGGTGACTAATATCAGTGAAGAGAAGAAATGGGGTGACTGGGAGCTTACCACTTCGGCAACGGAATACCGGAAAGGGAAGAAACTTCGGGTTTGGTAGCAGACATTTTACTCATAAATGGCATCCAGAACGCATGCCCGCGCCGGCTCTGGGAAGAGACAAGTTGAAGTAGGATGCCTCATCTACTGCATGCGAATTCCGTGGTATAATCAATGGCCCTCCGCGATGAGGCAAAACCAGCGGACAGTGCTTTTTTTTAGCTCTTTTTTTTTTTTTTTTTTT